TTTACTTCCTCCACTTAGCAGTAACTTCAGTTAAAATACTGGAACTTAGCATCCATGCATGTCCATCTTATTTCAAGAGGATATTTCAAGTGCTGTGTTTCTAAAGCAGTGCCTGGGAGCCTTGCTGATCTTCAACACTAAGCTTGCATCTCCACCTGAAGGTACAGAGTAGCTTTTACTGATCTTTATTAGCAGCTGGAGCTAGTTAGGCACCTGCTTTGTTAAGAGTTTCTACTGAGTCTGCAGTAGGCTGAGCAGGAAGCTCAGGCTGCAGAGGCTGTTAAGGCAGCAAGCCCCAGGAAAGGGGCTGTGCTAGGCCACATGCAGTGCCCATGCTCTGTGTAAGCTCCACCTCATCAGATGGTTTCAGGTAGCAGGAAGGGTTCTCCTTGGAAAAACATGACTCTAGCCAGGTACTGGCAAGGGCCTGTGGCAAACAGCTACTTTGAATTACACTTTTAAATTCTTTTTTCTTTGGATATACAGGTGCTGATTAATGAGTTCAAACAGAACATGGCAGTAGCAGAATAAAATTGTCCTTGTTATCAATTAACATGTTGAGATCATTACTATTGATTTTAACAAGGTACACTAAGATACAGCACAAGCAACCAGATGGCTTTGCTGGTTTTGCAACAAGAGGGATCTTCAAGGAAGATGCTCAGGCACTATCCACTCCAGGAATTCACGGAAGACAAGAACCTGACAGACCCATAACACCACAAATTACCCAAACTCGCATCTTACTTTGGTAACACTACTTACTATCCCAGCACTGACTTACCCACCTTGTGAGATGCTATCATCAAAACCTTGATCAGCCTTTGGAACAAAGCAAGTGACATCAGTGTATTGGTAACAGGAAAAGAAAGTATACAGCTGCACTGAGAGAGAGCTTGAAAGCTGCTACTGCTCATTAGCAGAAGCAAATAGCAGCAGAGAAAAAGTACCCAGGGCTACACCTAAATATCCCAAGCCTGGTATTGATTGATTTTCTTTTTATTGACCAGAATGACTTTGTGCATGAACTTCATGACAACTGTTTTGTATTAAAAACCCACACTACTCTTTAAAGCATATTAGCAACCCATGTGCACTTTTGGCTGTGCTGGAGTCATCTCTGCTCCAGCATAAGGACACACTCTCTTATCTTTGGTTTTTCACCAGGTCACGTGAAGCCAAATATCCATATTTATCTTCATGTACATTACAGAACAGACAGATGCCAATCATTATCCAAGTTATAAATCAAGTTCAACAGCAATACAAATTGACAGTATCACTTCCCTTCTTCTCTTTGCCAAGCTGTAATGTCACCTGCCAGGTTTGTATAAAGTATCTCCATCTGCAACAAACCTGACAGCGAGGAAGGTTCCAGAAACACCAGCCATGGACACAACATTGACAGTTTACCAGGAAGAAACTCAACACCTGGTTAAAGGCTAGCTTTTTGTATAACTACTATCTACATAAGCCTCTACAAAACAGATAATTTTTTCTGTTAGCCTTTCAGCTTTACACCAAAGGCCAAGCATGAGATGTGTGTGTTTGTCATCCACATATGCTGAAAATTCCAGTTATCCCAAAGAAGGCTGCTGTCAGGTCACCTCCAGTTCACCCACATTCAAATGCAGTACTGTCTTTTGTATTTCCACTATTGCAGAGGAAAAAAAAAAAAAAAATAAAAAATAAATGTGTTTGCCAACCCCAAATTAACCCCAGTACAGCTCCAGTAATTTAATCTGACAGCTTCCACAGTATGACAGCAATATCCTGTTGGACTTATCAAAAGATAAGCCACAGAGAAGAACACTTCATACAAAAAGATACCTTGCTGCTCATCAACTTGTATGGCAGAGAGGCTCTCTATCTTCAAACAACCTTAAAACAAGGATTTGAGAAGCAAAAAGCCCAACTCAGACTTCAGTGGCCACAGGTACTATGCATCCAGATGGAGGAAACTGAATGCAACCCACCTGTTACGGTGTCCTCATTGAGTCTACTTCTATATCATTTTTTGGAAATATATCAGATCAGCACAAAACTCTACATAAAACAAAATTTGTGGTCAAGGATTTAGAACAGCACAATAACCATGACTATATGAAGCTTTTTTTCTCTCCTTCAAAGCAGCAAACAATTATGAATATTCCATGCACCAAAATAACTGACCGCTATGAAATAGACCAAAAAATCCAACCAAGTGATATAAAAGAAGAATCTCATATCAATCAATACAAAGAGACCAAAGCACTCATTGGAACAATATTTTAAAGCGTGTAATTCTCTATAGTGTTTGGGAATCACAAAATGACTGTCAGCCAAAAAGGAATAAAACAAGGGGTTATGAGCCACATTGTATGTGACTTTGAAATCAAGAATGGATATTACTGTCAGATAAAAGAGGGTGGTGAAAGAACATGTAAAATTACCCCTCAAATGGTGTAATGTTTTATAAGCTTCTTACAGCTCATTTAAAAATCCTCCTGTTACTTCCCAGCACACTAACACTGTTATTTAGTTGCATCTTGGGCTCATACAGACAAGATGTTCATGTGGAAAAATCTTATTAGCAACTGGACGACTAGGAATTTCCATGGAAGAAAGTATTAACTTTATCCGAGTGTGATTGCATTCAGGTTCTCTTTTCTGCCTCTTCCAGAAGGGACAATACTAAGGATATGTATTAACATTTTAAGCATAAGCTGAAGTGGCATGGTGAGTTCTGTGACATATCAGATGCTCCTCACTTGCTTTTAGTGCAGAATATCAATCACACCTGTAGGGATAAGGTTAGCAGATCATGTATTTTTGTTGCAACACAGGATAAGGGATATTAGCAGACATCCCAGCTCCCCAGAAGTCAAAACAGCACTCAAATACATTGCAATTGATTGCTGTGATATAAAATCAGCAATTCTTCAGAATACCACCACCAGATCTGGCTTTCTAGTGCCATAAAACAAACTAAGAATTTCCTGTTTCTTTAGGACACATAAGAAGGCCTGAAGACTTTATTTTCCTTTTGACATAGCATCTGTAACACAAGCGAGCATGTTAGGTACTCACACAACATACAGCTTTACACCTGGACATTTCATGATACAGAGGACATTGTTCCAGAAAACTAAGATAAAAATGGAAAAGCGTTAATCCAGATGTTTGGAAACATGATGCTTCTTATAATACAGGCTGGCACTTGGTAAACTCCAGCATTTTCAAAACTTGTAAAACTAAACCTCAAGTAAGCAATGATTTAGAGCAGGAAGTTACCCTGCCAAGGCTTACAGAACAGATTTCATCAATTACCTTGTCACTAACTGAAGTTACTCTCACGCAGCTCTCATCACTGACTTTTAAGAACAAGTGTCTTTGAGCAATATCAGAAGAAATCTATTTCTACATTTTATTCTATGTATTGAAACTCTGGTGCTTGTTTCAAGGTGAAGTAAATGAAACCATTATTCAAAACCACAGACCAATCTAATCAAATATATATGGTGTAAATTGTTTGTTTCTGGTTTTGGGGGGCTTTTTTTTTTTTCAAAGCAATAAACTTCACACTTCTGGAGTAGCAGTAGGGTATGTGTTAAAATAACCAGTCAGACTTCATTCAAATGAATTAGACAACTTTTACTAAATGAAAAACCTACATTTAAAATATGCATTTAAAACAAAATGGAATTAGAAAAGAGACTTCAATCCATTTTAAGGAACTCGCTCGCTGTGTCAGAAATCAGTATCTCTCTTGCACTATATAATGCGCCAGTTCATAAAATGTAAGCTACCATAATCCTCAATTTAACATTTTCAAAGACAACACTGAAGTTAAGAGTTTTACATCTACTGATGCACATTTAGGATGGTATAAATCTGAAGCCTTCCCCCAAAGAACCTTAAAAATTTGACAATATTCAATAAAAGCTTTTGTAGCTATATCCAGTAAGTATTGCATCCTAAAGCATCACAAATCCGCACCTTTCGTTTATCCTACTGTAAGTTTTGTGTCTTGCCATTTGCCAATGTTAACTCTTTTAAGAAAGGAGAAAACTGAAAAGAAATACTGCATAACTGTTGATTGTGTACAGAAATTATTGCTACTATAGTACACTACAAAGCAGAAGTCTACACAATAGTATATGACATTCGATCATGAAAATCCAAAGGATATAATCTTTAGTGACATAAGCCTTATAATCCTGTTGGACATTCCTGGAGCATTTTCAGCTCACCACTCGTCAGCTAGCCTACTGTCCACTGGTGAACATCCATTTAAACATAACCTCTTAGGAAAAAGAATGTCAGCTTTCGAAGGCTTAGCAAATAAGGATCTTCATGTTCCGTGGAACTACGCAAGATGAATTTTGATGCAGGTAGGGAGTTACCTGGAAGCTAAGCATGCCAAAGGTGTTTCATGCTAATAAAACTAAAGCCAAGGTACCACATAATCAAGTTACCAACTAAGAGGCAACACCATTTTTGTCCTAAGTTAAATGAAGTGCCATAGCACAGTGTAATGTCAATAATTTAAAATAGTGTAGTGCACAAATTCATTGTGTGGCAGTTAAAAAGTCGAGACAGGCTTTTCTGTCTCAATTTATGTTGGCTGTCAAGCTGTTCAGCCTGGGCATTTTGGACTTAGTTTGCTTTTTAATCACTACCCTACTCCTATAAACTTTGCATTAGAACGGGACACGCATTTGGGCGGCATTATTATGAACAACATGGGGAAGATAAGAGATCAATGACTGCTCTAAAAAGCCCCTTCCTTATTTCAATTTCAAAGAGAGAGCTGGGAAATAAGACTAGATACCACATTCGCATCATTCTATCTACAAAATAACCAAAATAAAAGCAATCAAGCAACAATAAGACCACATTACACAAATGGAACATCATGCTCTCATCTGGGTTAACTATTACATCAAGTTTTAACTGGGATGTTGGTCAACTTTAAAAACCGTGATAAATGTGAATATGTAGTTGCAATAGTTTTTACCTAATATTTCTTTTAACTCTATGCTGGATATTAGAACTTGGAGCTATACTTGTTACAATACAGTGTCGCACATCTTTCTACTAGAAAAATTTAATAAAGATCCTTTACCCGTCTCTTTAAGTTAAACGTGTGACATCATAAAGGGTGTCAAATGGCTGGATGGTTTTACAGTGCACACATTATATACTGTAATATGGAGTTTTGTCCTTGACAGATCTGATGGTGTTTCTACATTATTCCTTTCTTCACCTCTTCTTCGGTGGGTTAGCTGTGCGAGGTGGAGTGACTGGGCGCCCAGAATTCAGTCCACCATACTGGTACTTGGCTTTCTTTTCTGATGGTTTCAATATCTTAGAGAAAATAAAGAAGTTCTTTTGAGTCATGGACAACTATGAACATTTCCAACACTGTTAAGCCAACATGAAATCTCATT